TTCAGTCGAGTTTGCCTCTCTGATCGTTGCTGTATTTAGGAGAATTTCTGTGGAATACACTTAACGAATTTCCTCGCTTTCTGCTATTCAATTTACTGTAGAAAAGTCTGATTTCAAGTGATTTTAAAAGCAATGACTGACAGAAATTGTTTTTGTAGTAAAACTTCAAACTTCGCACGAAATTTCACACGCAAAAACAATTTTGGAGATCTTAACTGGTGAAATAAATGCAACTAACTTAAAGTAGTTCGAAAAAAAATCTGTTCTTTAATACATCTGTCTTTGTCTACTATCTGAGTTGCTCGCTCGTTGCGAAGAGTTTTTTTTACAAATCGTTAGTAGACGGCGCAGAAGTCGATTCAATGACAAAGTTGCGTAAACAAACCCATTTGTAATCTGTAAAACCAACTTTACCGCAGGAAAAAAAAAATAAACATGTTATTTGCCGGCTTAGGGTCGGTCCGTATAGAGAAAAACTGTGACCTCGGTCACAGTTTTTCACTATACGGACCTCCCAGCCGGAAAATAACATATGTCTGGCTCCTGCCAGTTGGTTTTTAACCACGTTATGTTCATTTACAGTTTCATTGTTTGTTTCCATTGGCCCTGAAAACCGCCATTGGGAAAGTGGTCAATTATGATATATGATTAAGATATATGTGCACACGTAATTATGATATAGGTCTATTCGCAATAGACGTAATAGAATTTCCTTGAGTAGTGTGACCCATCTCCTTTATCTTATACACTTACACGAGCTTCTGTCGTAGATGTTTTATTTCTTCTGTGATACAATCACAAGTTACTGTGAAAAGATACTTAAACTATTAAAGTCAGTCATAACGCCAACTGTGTTTTGTTTTACGCCTTACGAACATTTACACAGTGCATGCGTAACAAAGTAATCGAGTAAAGCATACAAAAGAATACAAGTAATCCCCTTCAGGTCAGTAATCCTCCGGGGAAAGATAATTCCTCTTGATAGACTGAAAAAGGTTTTCTTTTTTGGACATTTCCAGTGGCGAATGGACAGCATTTCCTACAATTTCCAAGAAATAGCTGAAGAGAACAACCTCGCGAGCTAAACCCAATTTTCAGAAAACTTCTAACCATGAGTTTCTGTTCCTCTTTTTCACTCCATCGCGAAATTTATAGATTGTTTCGTTGAATGGTTCGCAATGCGAAAATTTGCACTTTTTGAGATTTTCCTGAAACTTCAAGAAATTTCCGTAATCTATTTTAAGGTGCGTGGATGTTTTCGTGGAGGACTTTGCACGATTAGCTATTTCTAGACCCCTTGAGATTTTTGAATATGGAGTGATCTGAGGCTAGGAGTGGTCTGAGACGTAAACTTTTCTTATGCGTCACTTAAAAGAGTCGTCTAACCATGTTTTGATTGGACTTTTTGGAGGTCTTCTATGACCGGGCAGGGCGGGGGAGGCCAATTCAGCCCATATTAAATCCATTAACATTAAACTCAATCAAAGGGTATTTCGTACGCCCAAAATGCATCGATTGACGTAAGCAACATGGAATGGCGACGCCGTATCACGTCGTCTGAACAGCCGCCATCTTGGGTACGCCATCAATAAAACAAGAAAGCATCAAGTTCCGAGATCAGTGATATATCAAGTACCATCATATCAAACCAATTGGTCCCAGACGAATCTCAGATAAATGCTCCAAAAGTTTTGCAGCTTTTATTTATTCATTGAAAATGCTATTAACGGTTAAGGCCGGTCTTAGAACTTTCCCCATTGAGAATCAGGCTGCAAGAACTTCCGAAACCTGTCCTAATAACAGCAATGACCGTGTTTACCCGTTGATAAACTCGGAAAACTATACGCATCAGGTAAATCACTAAATACTTGGCTTCTCCTTGTCATTTTTATCTGAATTGAGATAACTTTTGTTGCCAGCCTGAAACTTTATTTGCACAGTTTATTTATGTTGTTTACTTAAACAACTAGTCATGATTCTTTCCTAAAAATAACTTTAGCATACGAAATGAAAACTACTTATTTCAAAGATCTTTACTCCCTTAAGTCTACAAACGTAAGTCTTTTCATGTTATCTGAATGATGGATCATATCTCTTGGAGGCTTAAGTGGGAAATGTATTGCTTAATTGTAAGTTGTATAATTTCAACTGTTACTATATGATCCTATACTGAAAATATTTCCAACATGCCTTCATTAAAACACGACAGATCAAGTTTACAGTTGTTTATATATTTGTATCTACTTCCAAAACTCAAACATACGTGGTTAACTTGATTGTCAGTTGTATCCTCCCAAATTTTAGCTTCACAATATCTTGCGAGCGTCTTGGGTCTAGTTTACAGCTAATACTCGTTATTTGAAAAACTTTAGACTGAATCGAAGAAATGTCTACTTGAGGTCAATCACAGTTGCAATATTAAAATTCAGTGATTCAAACAAAATTTCTCTTCTGTAGACTTGGATATTTCATATAAACCACACTGATTTGAATTAGCACATGCTGGGATAAAACACACATTTACAACAAGTTGTTGTAAATTTCAAGTTATAACTATTTTCTAAGTATTTAATTTGTCTGGCAATGTTTTTAGAGCCGGTTCGGTTCATTGACCCGTACCAGATCTGATAAATTGTCTTTCAAAATCTCCCCATCATATTAAAATAATCCTGCGAATGCGAATCACGGTCTACAACATCCCCGTCAGGGGGAGGGCGCGGGATCTCTTCCATGCTCTCAAAGATCTCTGGCTCAACCATAACTGGCTCTTTTGGTTCCACTTCAATTGGCGAGAACAAAGACGCTGGTGTTGTTAACTTGCGAGTGTCGTCTTCGTGTTCCTGGCCTGATTCGTAACCCTTGTTTTCATCGCCTAATTCATTTGGGTTGTCCAAATCAGTGTCTTCATCATCACAGATGAGTTTTGGAGTGATTACCGCGGGATTTGGCTGGCTGCTCGAGGGCTCGAGCATTCCTGGTAAATACGAAGTTCTTGTCCAATCGTAATTGGCCAAGGCGCGCTCGTTCACTTTTTGAGGTTTTCTGTATCCCATATCAAATTTTGACGGCTCCCTTGCTTCTCTTTCTGTTACGAAAATACGATAAATATCTAATTAGCAAATTAAATACTCAAGAAAGAGAATAATTTGAAACTTGACTGTTACCTATTCTTTGCCGTCTCAATTCTCTTAACTCTTCTTTCCTCTTCCTCTTTTCTATGTCCTTCAGAGGTGTGCTGTTTACCCCGGTGAACTTGTTCCTCTTTAGCCACCATGAATGAACAATACACATAAAGCAGACATACACAATAAAACACGCAAATCCAGCAGCAATGCTGATTATGATTGGTGTGTAGTCCGTGTCTAGTGAATGGAAAGTGGTGGAAGCTGGTGTAATTGACACGTGACCATCAGTTGTTTTACTCGAGCTCGCAGACGCCAGAGAGCTAGCTGTCGACACTGAAAATACAATTTTTATTTGAGTATAGTGCTGTTTTGTAATTACTGATGAAAAACCAATACAGTGTAAAGTGTAGTTCTTCATTTATGGTGCCTCTTTGGTCAGCCTTGATAGGCTTGGCAAGTGGAAGTGTGTGTGGTATTGTAGTGGCTGATGTCAAGCTGTGCAACTGATGTAATACCCTATAGCGAGAAAACGTGCCACGTGCGACTGCCACAGCTGCGTGACAGAGAGGGGAGGCCAGGGCGCTAACGTGTAACGCAGCCCCGGGCTACCTTTAGGTTATCAAGGTTTCCTTATATAACACGATACACTTCAGTTCTTGTCGTTGTTATACTTACCTATGGACCCTGCACCACCTGCAGCTGTCGAACCGTGTACAGAAGAAGAAGAAGATGATGATGATGAAGAAGAAGAAGATACAGTCACTGTAGTAGGCTCTGGGAACACGAGATAGAAAACATTCAAATTAACATGGTGTGCATAGCTTAGCTCTAAAATGATAGGAATATTGACAGTACAACTTAGCTTGTAATCTCTGCTCGGAGTCCGGTGCGGCTGAAAAAGTGGCACTGCCTTAATAACATGGGATCCTTATCAGATAAATATTATGGCTCCTGATAAAAGGCGGTAGAAATTACCGTCATTCTTTAATTGACGTTATATTTGTCATCCATGACAAGTAAACCAAACAGAATGTTAGGCTCACCTACAGCGCAGCTTACGTTACTCCGACACAAACTCTCATTGTAAGTTTGTGAGGCCTGGCACGAGTTGCTAGATGGACAGTAAGTCTGGTTTGGTAAAGAACAGTTGCATTCAGTTACGTTGCTAACGCATCTTTCCACTCCAGTTAAGTTGCACCAGAACTATATAAAAAAAAAAGGCTCATGAATTCAAGTGCGAACAGATATCTCTGGCTGGGGATGTAAGCCTACGTCTCTCGCTAATAATTATGTTGAAACGAAGGTTATAATCAAAAACAACAACCATGTAGCAGGCCAGTTCAATGGAATTTTTCATGATTTGAATTGGAGGAGCACCAGGCTAAAAACGGGTAGATCCCCGTCATGGAATGGTGTACAAGAACACTCTCGTAATCTAAAAATGCGTTCGAGACTGCTGCCTTGACAATTCGTCACCATAGCAAACAAAAATTTGTTGCATTTAAATTAGAGTGATGAAAGAAAAATTGCAACGACCGCATAGTTCCGTCTTATTTTTAAATGTTCCGTGCATTGCAACCAAAGTAGGTAGCTATCAAAACTGACGAGAACTTACACTTACCAAACTTAAAGCGAGCTTAACTCGGAATCAATCCTGATTGCAATTGTCATCTTAAACAACTGCAAAACGCTGACAAAGAGGCGACCACTACGTAAGAAGAATTTTAATTCGAAGTCTTAGAACTCAAACAGCTTTTCTCGCTGAACGCTACCCTGTTTATTCCGTCTTATGATCCTTTACGTATTGCAGAAAATTTCCCTTAACTTTTCTGGCAAAACTAAAATTCGAATAATGATTGTGTTCGAACTAAGTTCGTGAATAAACGCCTTTAATAAAAGGATTTCAAATGTTGATTTAAAGAATGATAATATTCTGTCCATTGTTGATCGACATCAGGATATATGTCGTCAACCTGTTTTCATACTTATTTAACGAATAATAGTTTTGAACAATGGGAGAACACTTAATGCAAAGAGGCGAGGAATGGATCTTGAGAATGGGTATAAAAATTAACAACTGCTGTTCAAGTTTTCTTCCATCACTCTATAAGACGGAGTAATTTACCAATGTAATATTCATCACCTGGTTAGGTTTTCTTCGTTTTAGTGTGTTGAATTTCCACGATATATTGTTTAGGAGCTGTAAACAGTATAGAATATTCTTATTATAAGTATGTGGTTCACATTTATTATACCTGGTTTTGGCTGTTAGCGTGAGAGCCGCAAACTGTAAAAATGAAAAAAAAATGAAAAATTAAGACTTAACTTTGACATATGCTAAAATTCTACCGTGCTACACCTGCGGAAGCTACATGCAATCGGATGCGAGCAACAAAATGTTTTCAAAAGAAACTGTTTGTTATCAGTTCGCAGTGGATCGTAAATATAACTGATAACGTTACTTGGTAAAAGTTCTGATGATAACGCTGGAAGCGAAATTAAGCAAAATTGCCATTTGTGTTATCTCCGTTTATGTCATCGTGATGTCATGCGATTTACAAAATGAACGGGTTAATAAATACCTGATATTGTGCTTGTTAGAAGAAGCAAAAAGTTGAAGACAATCATTTTGGTAGTAAATTTGATAAAATTGTGGTAAAGGACAGGGCTTTAACTAGGATGATTTTTTGCAGCGTGTGCCGAGAGAATTAAATGTCATACAGTTCATCGAATATTAATGATATTTTCCTAATGGAACCTGGTTACCAAATTACCTCAACCCACGCGGCGCGAAAAACTGTAAACACGTTAATATACTGAGCCCGATAGTGAGCAAAAAAGCTAAGTCTGTTGAAAAGTATTATGTCATCTCCACAATTTTACTTTGAAATGAGCAAAGGAAACCTTTGAAAAAAAGCATTAAATAGTTTGTGGCGTGCCTGCTGTCGGCATGCATTCTGTTAATTTACAAACATATTCCGTTAACACAATAAGATCCACATTTTAGGTCTCAGACTGAACTCAGCTTGAGCTTTTCTGAAGTACCTAGCGAATAAAATCCTCTTAAGTTTAATTTGAAGACTTATCTTTATGACTAAATAGCCAAGATCTCGACGTTTGTCTGGATATCACTTAATTTTAGCTTTAACTGAGCTCAGTTTTGGAATAGCATTCTGTATAGAGTTATATAATATGCGTGTTATTAAAAATCTTTTTAGTAATTCAGTTTGGTGTAGTAAGCCTTGAATTTCGTTCGGAGATTACCTCCGGAAGGCACAGTCTTGCTATTTTCACAAAGTTAAATACACTGACGTGTAATTTATTTCTTAGCATTAATAATTTATCACAGTCACTTTATGCAAAACACGCTCAAAGAATTGATCACCAGCAATAACATGTTAAGTTAGATGAGACAACTTGATGATCCGAAAGTTTTTTTCCCCAATACTCGCCTCTTTTCATTGCGGAACTGTTTAAATGGAATTTCTATATTGGTAAATGTGTTTTTAATGCGCTTTATGTATACTAAGTAAAAATTGGAAACCCCTAAAATCAACCAGACACGCTGTCACATGTTAAACATAAAGAAATGCCGGATGTAAAGCTTGGTAGAAAATATAAGGGAGATGAGATTATTCAGTCAGGGTCAGCACAAGCTGGTTGTGAAATGACTTGACTTTCCCAATAGCAGTCCAACATGAAATCTTTCCACACATAGGTGAACGTTCTTCCACTGAGCTACATGACACTTGTGCGAATAAAACCAGATGCAGCTAGGTTTAAAACTGAGGAACATCCAATATACCGCAAGGAACAGTTCTGCCGATATGTGAGATACTCATATTGAGAAATGTAGTTACTAAGACATGATTGATTATTGTAGTGATACAAACAACTTAAGCAGTTGTGAAATTAAAGCCTGAAAAATTCAGGCCTGAATGGGATTCGAACCCATGACCTCTCGATACCGTTGCAGTACTCTACTGAGCTATCAAGCCAACTGGGAGTTGGGGACTTTGTGAGTTTTTTTTTTCAGGCCTTACTTTCACAACTGCTTAAGTTGTGTGTATAACTGCGATGATCATCTTTCTTCGCAGTACAAATATATGATCTTTCACTACATTCGCGTGTAAATGAATTTATTGTTAGTTATAGCGGAAGAATGAACATAACGAACATTAGAACATAAAGCTAATCTGAAGGAAACCTACACGACTACACCTAGATAATATTGTGAATTCGCGGTTATAGGATAGAGGGTTGATATTGCTTGCATTCTGTCAGGGCAAACATTTCTTTTCACTTTAAATCTGCTAGTAACGTACCGGCAAGTTTTATTTTTTTTCTAGGAGAAGAAATCTTATACCAGCGCTGCTGAGATTGTCATAATATTGCATTGTTTGCAATTATTAAAAGTAGTCATAAATTACCAAGCAACGCGCACACCATTGCGACAACATTACACGTACAACACCAAATCAAAGTTGCCTTATCAGAATCAAAATATTTCGCTGATCTTGCTGGCAAATCCATACTTTTCTTATTCAATGCGGAATGTGCCCAACTCGCAATCGAGAAAGTGGTTTTTAAACATCTTGTACAGAAACATTTTGTATTCGCCTTCTATAGTACATTACAAATCAGATGATACTTGATTAATGCAGGAGATCCAGCAAGCATGGATAAGCTTGCTTTTTTAACCCCGAAGATCCCCGAAATATTATTTCACTAATTTTTAATTGACCTGAAAAATTTTATTGACTATAGCAGGTGGATTAAATTACATATTATATAGACCAGAAATGCAATGTAGTAGAAGTACATTTTCCAAGGCTTATCTGACTAATTTAAAACAGTTCGACTCTCTCTGCTTGCTGTTTTATCCTATTTCGTTTAGTTTTATGTTGTTTTTTGCAATTGCTCTTCTTGAAATGCTTTCACTGTTAGAGGTATCGCTGCTCAAGCATTGGAAATACAGACTTTACATACCTACACTCATGCTGCCGTTATAACTGTATCCTGACTGGTTACATGAACAGTTGTACGAGCCTGGGATGTTGACACAGTAGGCATTGACGGGGCAGTCATGTGAACCATCGGTACATTCATTCACGTCTTGGAATTGAAAAGAAGTGTTTGAGAAAAAAGTATTTATTCTAGTTCAGTTTAGGGTGCCGACATTTTCCAATTCATGATAAAAAAAAAAATAAACAGTTTTGTATGCCATCAGGTGGTGTTCAAAAATCTAGTCCAAGTTCAGCAATTGAAGGGGCCGGATGGCCCATCACTACCGAAATTCTGAAAATTCATGAAAATTCAAGTACGTGAATCAAAGCATCGGGAGGTATTGTTTCACCCCCTGAATTAAATGTTGCCCTCTTTACTTAATGTCAGATGTCTGCCAAAAGAAAATAACACCATTGCCTCGTTCACTGCAGTACAAATCTAACTACTAAGACCATGCTAATGTAAGAAATACAAGAATTTGTCTGAAATAAGGAGAAGAGTAACCAATGACAAGGGAACTAAAAACTGAAACTATGATTATATTGGAAACAAATTCGTACAAAACCTCAAAAACTTGAGTGGAACAAAAGAGTTTGAGGAGGTACATAAAAGACAATTGGAATCTCGAATAACAAACTGATGGTGTCCAAAATAGTTTTTCTGGTAGTCCTTTCGACAACATGTATATTCCATTCCAGTAACACTCACCTTCACACTGGTGTGGATCACCAACGTAGCCATCGCTGCACATACACGAAACACCGGTACTCATGTTGACGCAATGCGCTGGAAATTCACAATTTGTCATTTCTGGATCAATACTACAAAACGTGATTCCTTGGGTCTGGACTAGTGAAAAGTAAGCCATTCACAATATTAAAATTCTCTCAAACTCATGTGTATAATTCATTTAGACTAATAATAATAATAATAATAATAATAATAA